CTTCATAATGGCCAAAAACCGCAGAGTTCGACCTCAATTTTCGCGGCTCCCTAACACGGCTGTCAGGTCAATCTGTACCGATCTCGGCGCCGCACTACCCTTGCACGAAAATGTTACACGCATCGCTCGGTGCGAGCTTGAGACGGCCCATCGGGCACCATTTCATCCACTTCCACTCGACCAGGGCACCGTGCAAACACCTCCGGCAGTGTCAGTTATTCAGGCAGTCGTGCGGCAAGAAATTGCTAACCTTGATTTTCCTGTCGCCTGTTCCGTCTGCCAATCTGACTATAGACAGATGCCAATGAATGCACCAGGCCATGACCCATACTCTCTGCCCAGATCCCGCAATCCAACGGAATAGAGAACAGCAGACAACAGAGTTGGCCATGTCTCCCGCTACTGCCGCAGCATTTGGATGCCCCCCCCGATGGAGCCAATTTTCATCTTCTCAGCCACACGCGGATTCCCGTTGGTATTAGCCCAGCCGTGAGTATCCTGCTTCTGACGCACCTAACAGTCGCTCTACCGCTCGTTCACAGTCACCGCAACGCCGCCCTTCTCCATCGTCCCAACCCCGCTGCTATCGATCGCCGGCTAACCATGGATCTTCCCGGATGGAAAACTAGATTATGCAGCTCCTGGAAGTAGTGCTGCATCAAATGCGACTGACCCAAATCCTCCGTTGATGCTCCCTACTAATAAGAACTTGCTGGAAGTACAATGTGGACGGTCTTTCTTTGATCACTTTAGTTGACACTGAAGCTCAGGTGTCTATAATGAGTGCTCGTCTCTGTCACCGCCTCAAAAAAGTACTCATGGCTGGCGCAACACAAGCCATCTATGTTGCCCGATAACGGAACTGTGGCCGTCATTGGAATGTGTACCGCTCGTATTAGCCTTGCCAGCCGCCATGTTCCTGTTTTATTTACCGTGTTTGACAATTGCCCTCATGACCTCATCTTCGGGATGGACTTCTTATCGACGCATTCTGCCTTGATCGACTGTTCTGCCGGCACTCTCTGTTTAGAACTTCCTCTTCTTCCAGATTTTCACCCCGAGCTGCCGAAAAGCCTCTGTACCACAGACTTCAGTCGGATACTGCCAAAAGCCCTAAAATTCATTGAATTGGCAACAACTTCCCCTGTTGTTGACAGTGATTATGTCGTCACTGCCTATTCCTGACGAATAGGACCAAGAGTGGTCTCCGCTTGGTGTCTGGCCTACCGGTCACGCCACTGCTGCTGGTTCAAAATATATTTCATCCAAATCCTCGTACATACGGCTTCTATTTTCTTACATAACCATATCAATCTTTTCAGCTGTTAAGAAGTTCGGCACCTGTCAGATCAACTAGGTCATTCTTCTACACAACTCCTCGGACAGTGTTCATCAAACTGATGTGCTGATACGGTGATGGGGACATTACCAAAAGTCTTCAAGCTGGATAGTTTTTCATATTGTTCTTTGTCTCGGACTTCAATGAGGAGGTCTCCACTGGCCATTTACATTGCTTTGTAATCAGTTCGAAGTGTGTTTATTAGGCACTTTGAAGCTAAAATTGGGAGAGTTTTCTGACTGGTTTTGCTGGTGTGTCAGTATAAATAACATGATAGCTGCGATAAGTTAGTTTTGTTCGGTTGGAAAAGCTGAAAGCTTGCTTCGGTGCGCACCCTCTTCAGGGAGTGATCAATGGAGAGTTGAAAAAATTAAGCCATAAAATATGGATTGTATTCAGTAGTGGTGGCAGCCACCACACTGAGCCCAACGAGAGGACGCTGCAAGGCATGAAGAAATGGCTTGCATACATCAGGTGTTCACCGCTACTATAACCTGTTGTGATGCATCCTAAAGTGAGGTGAATACACGAGGTTAACCATCGCTGCCAGGAAGAATCGAAAGTAAACAGAAGAGAAAAGAAGACAGGACAGACAAAAAGTGACAAATAAGGACGAAGATGTAGAAAAAAAAAATAGCCTGCCCGCCCGTCCATTCATCCATCTAGCTGCTTATGTTTGGGGTGCTCTCGTGGTCACCTTCTTAACTTGGCATGAACCAAAATTAGCATGGGAGGGTAAGAAGGCTTTACGAGTATGATGCTGTCACACAGTCTCGTTAATTAGGGAGGCGATCGCCGGGCTAATTCCAAGGGCCGAAGTATTGGCCCCCCGAACCGCACCACGAAAGCGTGGACAATTTAGAAATGGTCCTTTTTGGCGCGCCAGCGGACGCCGGCTGTGGCCCAAAGAACAAGTCAGAGCCGAGAGTTGATAAACAAAACAAATATTATATTCTCAAAAAATGGCAGATCGAAAACAACACACAAGAATGCACACTCCACAATAGTTACATACAATACGTCACCAATCAAACAACGTACTACACAGTACAATCAGCCACACTCAAAACAACGGACACAGACAACGATACGCACTACAATGCAGTCGCATGCATTGAACCACCAAGACACTTAAAGACTAAAGAGATAGAAAACCTATCCAGTCCGAAGCCCTTGGAACAAAAGTCTAGATGATACTCTTCCGAGAATCACTCACTCAAAGTCCAGCGTTGTTGTCGTTCCGCGGCCCTCGAAGTTTCTCTTCCAGGAAACCTCGCCGAAGTTTCTCTTCCAGGAAACCTCGCGTCTTCAATTGGCCACTCTCCAAGCTTCAAACTTCTTCGCCGGAAACACGTCGGCTTCACACACGCAGCTGTTGCCACGCGTCTTCGCTCGATAGTGGGAAACACTCACTCTTGCCTGTAGCTCGAGTCGTCACCCCTCAGGTGGAAATCATCTTCTCCCGCTTTGTCTCTACGGACAAAACCTTCGCCGTCTACACGGCGGTATACCCTACGCGCTCTGGCGCTAACTTCCGTCTTCTCCTCATCTCTCATCTCCGCTGCTCGGTTAAATACCTTCCGCGCGACATTCCAGAAAGTTCTCATCATTTCGTCGGCGCGATGCGCAGCGGAGGCTGGGGGATAGCGCGAGACTGTACGAGGGCCGTACCCGACGGATGACTCAACCCGGCATAACACGCCCCTTTCGTTCTAGAAATTTCGCGGGCTTGCTCGGCCGCCGATGTGGGGTGAGGAGGTTCGTCGGCGAAGCCACGCTTTCGAGGGGAGAGCGCGCGCCCGGGGAGCCTTGGATGTTTGTTTTCTTTTTTTTTTCTTTTGACCTCCCGGCGTCTCTCCCACGCGTTATCGCAAGAATTTGGCGGCGCGCCCATTTTTAGCGCTCGTTCTGTGACAGATGCGCTGGTCGAAACATGAATAAGGTCACCTTCCTGTCACGTACATTGGCAAATGCTTCCCGTCAGACAGTGGCACATACCCGCACGGGCAGGTATGTGCTGCTGGTATGTGGGTACGTGCCACAGGTGATTGACACTTAGTATCTACACAGGAATGATGAGAACACATATGGGCACTTTTAACACTTGAGCGTTAAGCAATACCCGACACTGCTAGCGTCGACCCAACAAAGGCATAGAATAAATGTCAGTGTTAAGAAAAACCGGACATAGACAGTGTTGACTGCTCGACAAATGCATATAACACATTTCAGGGTCCCAGCAGGAATCGGACCCAAGAATTTTGCGTGGCATTCAAGCATTCTACTACAGAGCTACGCAGGTCTCGGAACTACTTTACAAATAGATGCTAATCCTCATAAAACGTCAATAGTGGTTGCAGTGTCGCCTACCCAATTTTATAAATATTACACATGTACTCCTTTTATACAGTCATTACGTCAGATTAACGTCAATTGTGGTTATGCACCATGCGCTGGAGTTGATTTATGCAGCAGCATCTCGAGCCAGCATCTTCGCGAGCGTCAGTGCTTTATATCAGCTTCTGGTGTTGCCAATATGCGTGTTCCAGTTGACATCGTTGTGCAAGTGCATAACAACTGGTTATATAAACAACAACTCTTCAGCATATGTCTGTGCGTGTAACATTTGTACATATATTTAGCGTCATTTCATGACGCGTCACTTAAAAAAAAAATGAAACGCGGTCGCCTTTCCTGTGCATGCTTTGCATAACGTCGATTCCCAAGTATGTGGGATCTGCCATATTTTTTTTTTTCCTTGGAGGCATCTGAGCTGCCAGCGCTGACACCATGGCACAGTGCACCAGAACCATGACAGTGTCTTGTTCTTCGCTTGAATAGAACTCCTTGACGCTGTTAAGAACAGATGAAAACATAAATGCGGCGCGCTCGGTTTGCTCCGCTCACTCAGCTGGCAGCAGTCAGCTGATCAGCACCGGTCTCCAGAGTTCTCGCTGATAATGAGATCTGGACGTGACCCTACGATTTTGCTGACTTCCGGTCACTCGCATGCAGCCTCTGCCGGTGTGAATATCAGTCGCTTTTTGGTCGCCAGTCGCTACTGATCGCGCGACCGCTGCTAGTCGCCCTTATTGTTTGCCTTTATTGAACTTTATTGTTCATTCACGTCAGTAGACTGTGGTGTCGGTTACCTTTTCCTGTCCCTCTCTGCGCCTTTGCTGGCGGTGAAGAGGAAAGGCAAGAAATGTCGGTCTGCAACCTGCTGTGTCGTAGCGTACGTACTTTGTCAAAACTGCGCTACAGCAAAACAGAGCGAGTTCATTGCGAACATGGTTTAATTCACTCGTGACCACACAGTGGCCGCGAAAAGGCCCAACTTGTCACTGGAGGTGTCGTTAGTACTTTTCAATAAAAACAGGGAAAAAAAAAGCGGTTAGGTCACTAAGTGCACAAGTGCCCACAGGGGGAGCGGTGGAATTAGAAGGGCTGGAAGTATAGAGAAGGCGTTGTGCTTCTTGACAGCTACAAAGTTGTCACACAGTATGCCAATATATGAAGCAGTTAGTCAGCACTGTGAAGTACCAGTTACAAAAAAAACATAACTAGTCGTGCCCTTAAGCATTTCTTTCTTGTGTTAAACAGGAGCCTACTTACGAGCGCATCTTCAGGTAAAGCTTTAGAAGAGAAATGTTGCACTCACTTGACGACCATCTTCTGCTGCTCCTTCAGTACCACCACTGCCACTTGCACCATGCAGACTGCTGTTGTCACATATGCCGGGTCTGCATGCGATCGGCAACGTGATCATTGTGGCCAGCAGATCACATGCTTAAGAGCTATCTATTTCATGTCGTCAACATTATCATAACATCTGTTGTGGTGGTACATTACCTCAAACTGCGTGGTCCTTAAATATCGATTTGAGGCAGGTAACAAAAGTCACTGTCAAGATTCCATGTATAATCTATGCACAGGCACTAGCGTAACTTTTCTATTCTGGTTATCTATTTATCTATGCTAATTATCTAGTTATCTATACCATCTATCTTTATAAATTCTTTCTAGCTTTCAGGGCTTTCACTTAAGGGTGACTTGTAGGAATGCAGCGATGGCGTAGTGGCTAGAGCATCCTCCTCTCATGCAAGAAGGTCCGCGGTTCAAATCCCGGTGCCACGCAGTTCTCAACCGGAACCGGATCAAAAAAAATGCGCGTGGTCATGGAACTGCATTAAGAGGCCTGGGGTGTGGCCTCACTGGTAACCACCTTCGGGAACGCACTCCCTCACCAGAGAAGGATTGGCCACCCTGGTGCAGTATCTGGCCACTACCTCCCACATGCATACGTCAAATAACTCACGGCCCTCAGTTCCCAGCAGCTGCGAAGTAACTGACCACGGCGGCGGTCAGATCTGCAACGCAGCAGAGGGTGCTAAGAATCTCTGGATCCGGACAGGCCGCCATTGGAACCTGAACTTGGCAACGTTTAACGCTAGAACCTTATCTAGTGAGTGAAGTCTAGCTGTACTATTCGAGGAGCTAGAGAGTGTTAAATGGGATATAATAGGGCTCAGTGAGGTTAGGAGGGCAGATGAGGCCTATACGGTGCTACAGAATGGGCACGTCCTTTGCTACAGGGGCTTGGCTGACAGAAGAGAACTGGGAGTGGGGTTCCTAATTCACAGAAACATAGCTGGCAACATAGAGGAATACTATAGCATTAATGAAAGGGTGGTAGGTATCGTAATTAAACTGAATAAAAGATACAAGATGAAGGTAGTACAGGCTTACGCGCCTACATCCAGCCATGATGACGCTTCAGTTGAAAGCTTCTATGAAGACGTGGAATCGGCAATGAGTAAGGTAAAAACACTATACTATAGTGATGGGTGACTTTAATGCAAAGGTAGGGAAGAAGCAGGCTGGAGACCAGGCAGTAGGAGATTATGGCATCGGTACTAGGAACCCCAGAGGAGAGCTACTAGTAGAATTCGCAGAATGCAATAATTTACGAATTTCGAATACCTTCTACCGAAAACGAGGAAACCACAAGTGGACATGGAGGAGCCCTAATGGCGAAAATAAGAACGAAATAGACTTTATAATTAGTGTACACCCAGGCATTGTGCAGGATGTGGAAGTGGTTGGCCAGGTACGATGCAGTGACCATATAATGGTACGGTCTCGAATTCGCCTAGACTTTAAGAAGGAACGACAGAAACTGATACGCAAGAAGCCAATCAATGATCTAGCACTGAGAGGGAAAGTACAGGAATTTGGAGTCGCTTCAGAACAGGTACTCGGCTCTTATTGAGGAAACTAACCTTAGCCTAGATACAGCCAATGATAATCTGACGAGTATCATTACGGAGTGTGCAGTGAAAGCTGGAGACAGGGTAGTTAGACAGGACACTGGCAACCTTTCCCAGTAAACGAAGAATCTCATTAAGATGCATCAAATCATGAAAGTCTAAAGTGCAACAGACAAAATAGAACTGGCAGAGCTTTTGAAGTTGATTAATAAGCGTAAGGGAATTCGATGTAAGTAGGTATAACATGGAGAGAATTGAACACGCTCTGAAAAATGGAGGAAGTGTTAAAGCAGTGACGAGGAAACTTGGTAGAGGCGAAAATCGGATGTATGCACTAAGGGACAAAGAAGGCAAAATAACTACCGATATGGATAGAATAGTTAAAATAGCGGAGGAGTTTTACAGAGATCTGTACAGTAGCCGGGACAACCACGACTTTAATACTATAAGAACTAGCAGTAACCCAGGTGACACCCAACCATTAATGATAGAAGAAGTCGGAAAAGCTTTGGAGAACATGCCAAGAGGCAAAGCTGCTGGTGAGGATCAAGTAACATCAGATCTGCTGAAAGATGGAGGACAGATTGTGTTAGAAAAAACTAGCCACCCTGTTTACGAGGTGTCTCTTGACGGGAAGAGTACCAAAGTCTCGGAAGAATGCTAGCATTATCTTAATACATAAAAAATGAGACAACAAGGACTTCAAGTATTACAGGCCGATCAGCTTGCTCTCCATAGTATACAAGCTATTTACAAAGGTAATTGTTAAGATCCGCTGAAAGATGGAGGACAGATTGTGTTAGAAAAAACTAGCCACCCTGTTTACGAGGTGTCTCTTGACGGGAAGAGTACCAAAGTCTCGGAAGAATGCTAGCATTATCTTAATACATAAAAAATGAGACAACAAGGACTTCAAGTATTACAGGCCGATCAGCTTGCTCTCCATAGTATACAAGCTATTTACAAAGGTAATTGCTAACAGAGTAAAGAAAACATTAGAATTCAATCAACCAAAGGAACAAGCAGGATTTCGAACAGGCTACTCAACAATCGACCACATTCATACTATCAATCAGGTAATAGAGATATGCTCAGAACATAACCAACCACTATACATAGCCTTCATAGATTACGAGAAGGCATTTGATTAAGTAGAAATATCAGCCGTCATGCAGACACTGCGTAATCAGGGCGTCGATGAAGTATATATAAACATACTGGAAGAAATCTACAGGGGATCAACTGCTACTATAGTGCTTCATAAGAAAGCAACAGAATACCAATCAAGAAGAGTGTAAGGCAGAGGGACACAATCTCCTCAATGCTATTTACCGCATGCTTACAGGAGGCTTTCAGAAGCCTAGAATGGGAACAGTTAGGGATAAGAGTTGATGAAGAGTACCTTAGTAACCTGCGCTTTGCCGATGACATTGCATTGCTGAGTAACTCAGAGAACAAATTGCAACTCATGATTACGGAGTTAGACAAGGAGAGCAGAAAGGTGGGTCTTAAAATTAATCTGCAGGAAACGAAAGTAATGTACAACTACCTCGGAAAAGAGCAGCGCTTCGAGATAGGTATTAGTGCACTTCAAGTTAAAAAGACTATGTCTACTTAGGGCAGCTAATAACCGCGGAGCCGAAACACGAGATTGAAGTAACTAGAAGAATAAGAATGGGGTGGAGCACATTTGGCAAGCACTCAAATTATGACATGTAGATTGCCACTATCCCTCAAGAGGAAGGTATATACCAGCTGTATCTTGCCGGTACTTAGCTACGGAGCAGAAACCTGGAGACTTACAAAGAGGGTTCAGCCTAAATTGAGGACGACGCAGCGAGCAATGGAAAGAAAAATGACAGGTGTAACCTTAAGAGACAAGAAGAGAGCAGAGTAGATTAGGGAACAAACGGGGGTTAAGGATATCACAGCTGAAATCAAGAAGAAGAAATGGACATGGGCCGGGCATGTAGCGCCTAGACAGGATAACCGCTGGTCATTAAGGGTAACTAACTGGATTCCCAGAGAAGGCAAGCGGGTCAGGGGGAGACAGAAGGTTAGGTGGGCAGATGAGATTAAGAAGTTTGCGGATATAAATTGGCAGCAGCAAGCACAGGACCGAGTTAACTGGTGGAACATGGCAGAGGCCTTTTTTGTCTGCAGTGGACGTAGTCAGGCTGATGATGATGGTGATGTATATTGAACACAGCACTATCCTCAGATTCGCAGTGGTTCTAATTTGTAAATTGCAATATGTGCCAATACACATTTGACAACTTAACAAAATTATGGTAACAGCCAATCATCCATACCTGATTTATTGTGGATGAAATATAAAACCACTCAAACAAACCATTTAAATGGAAAGAATTAGGTTACCATTATGAGTGAATTTTTAGAACTTGATACAGTCAAACCACTTTGTAAGAGACATTACCGTAATTACTCGAATCTAACGCGCACCTTTTTTCCGGTTAAGCGAGTTCATAAATCGCATGCACCTTAGAATCAAGTACGAAAAAAAATGAATACGGTCATTCTATTGCCAACGGCATTTCCAAAATGGCCGCCCCCTACGTGCGTCGGCATGGCGCGTCGACCATTTCTGCCTATGTGTTTCCCATGTGCGACACTTCGTACGTGTGCTGAAGAGTTCGTCATCTTGTAGTGCATCAGCCTCGATGGCATGGAAGGGCCGACTCCAAAAACTCGAGTGCACCACGATGCCGCTTTTGAAAGAAAAGTCATCGCGTGTGCAGAAACGGAGGAAAATCGGGCCGCATCGCGGTCGTTCGGAGTTCCAGAAATGTGCGTGCGGGACTGGCGGAAACAAAAGGAGAAGATTGCCGACAGCAAAGCTTCACGCAAAGGCTTCAGTAGACCACAGCAGGGTCGGATTCCGCAAATTAAAGAGCTGCTCGGCGAGTATGTGCTTGAGCAGCGAGCGGCACAGCGGCCTGTGACGACAGAACTGCTCCAAGCGCGGGCTATGCAATTAGCCTTAAAAAAAGGTCTAATTCGGAGCCAGTTTAAAGCGAGCAGGTGCTGGCTAACTAACTTTATGAAGAGGAAAGGCTTTTCCCTCCGAAGGGGAACGGGCATATGCGAAAAGTTTTGCGGAAGAGTACGATGAAAAGCTTCACAGTTTTCAGAGGTTCGTCCTAAACTTGCGGCACAACAACGGCTACCTGCTTGGGCAAATTGGGAACGCCCATCAGACGCATCTTTACTTCGACATGCCTGGCACCACAACCACCGAGGAGAAGGGGGCGGCGAAGCAAGTTCGCAAGCTGACATCAGTCCACGGTAAAACTACAGTGACGGCAATGCTCTGTTACACATCAGATGGGCACAAGCTTCGCCTGTACCTCATATTTAAATGAAAGACGCTCCCGAAAGGAGTCGTTTCTTCGAGTGGTGTGATCGTGCGGGCCAGCGAGAAAAATGGGTGCGCGTTGCAATCGATGTCTTAC